ACAGGTTATATTGGGCGCACGAGTCGGCACCTATCGAAAAGAATAAAGGAACACCTCCCATAATGGCTAAGGAAGGGTGAATTCAATACAACCAGGACCATAAACAGCTCTATTCTAACGCACATGGTGGATTCCGGACATCAGGTGGACCCCAACGAATCCTTCAGGATGATCTACAAGGTCCCACCAAACTACCCTAAGTCACTGGGTCGGCAGCTGCTAGCAATAGCAGAAGCAACTGCTATCCGGTTGAGTAAGCCGATTTTGTGCGCGGAAAAGAACTTGCTGCAAGCTCCAAGCTTAGCATGGCCAACTACCACCTAGCTACCGGCATTTTTCCGAGCCTCCTCTTTCCCTTTCCCAACTTCTCTCCCTAATAGCCGCTTAATTAGCCACTAATTACTACCCCAACCCCCTCCCCTATCCCCTGGACTACTTTGCTTGTAACGTTGAACATAATTTGCCTACAATTTTACCTTTTAAACTTCACCCCTTCCCATATAAATGTAACGGCCTGATGAGAATTTACTGAAAGTATACGTATGCTCGCCAATTGCTCTTTGGATTTCCGTAATTGGAATTTTTGCAACCTTGGAAAGTACGTTTGTTTTCGATAAATTCCCGTCAGGTCTTTACATTTATATGGTAATGGAATAAATAAACTATGCTGGTTGGTTGACAGATATAGTGATGTTGATTCCTATTGTAGATCTAGCTCTGAGGAATTTACGTTTAGTCTACCGCTCAATTAAATTGTCGACATAAAAAACTGCAGTCAGCCCAGCAAAATATCTACTCTGAATAATTTACAACAGGATCTGAGCAGAATTAAGCAGTCGCCATCTGCCAATTTCGATACCACCACCTTTTGGGGCCGTACAACTCGGCAGAACACTAAGATCAGTTCTGTTTATTTGAAGAAAATAAAGGGCGAAACGTTTGAACATCCCATTTTTTACAAGCGACCTAATTATATAAAAATATGAAGAAATTAACATCAGAAAATACAGGAACATGCTAAATCTCTGTACAGGTAAATGAACAATCTCTAGTGTTCGCGGAACAAGCAGTTATGCATAGACTATTTCATGTGACGGTTAACTACTTGCTTGAGCACAAGGCTGCAAGTATGCTTTAAGATGTGTGCAAGTATAAGCGTGAATGTCAGCATGTTCAGTTGATAAATTTGGTGCAGCGAACTATTTCATAAATAACTTCTACTCAAAAATAA